TAAAGCATAATAAACAACAATTAAAATTCACAATCCAACAACAAACAACACCATATTTTAATGTTTTGGAAAAAAAGAAAATCGAAGAACGCCGCCGGAATTGCCTTATCCTTTTTTACTGTATCCTTAAAAGTTTTGGGAAAAAAACTTCCTTGTCTTTTTTTTTTCGCCGACAACAGTAACAAATAAATATGGGGGGCAAAAGAGAGCAGAAAAGGAAGTTAAAGGAAGAAAAAAACCTTTAGTGCTGGCGACGAAATCAAAACGTTCATTGATTGTGTTACATCGGCTGCATGAATTTGATTATGATATGGATTATCTCTGTAATGATGTTCCAAAACAAGCAAATAATTTATCAATGGACCAGAATGAATGTTGAAAACTTTTAGAAGGCCACGATTCTGAAATGAACACAAACAATCAACTGCTTTTTTTTTTCTTCCTTATTCCCCAACACCACCATATGACAACAACAACAGTGAAAAATTATTAAAAATTTACACGACAGATTTCTAAGTTTGCTAGGATACAGTCTATCACATAGATCGTTGATAAATTACAGCTATACTGTTTTTTACTTACTTTTAATCACGCTTTCAGTTTTTTTTGTTTTTTTCCTTACAACAAATCTATCCAATTGTAAGTTTGATATATTTCAATAAGATATATCAATAATAGCACTAGATTAAGACAAGGAAACTTTCATAATTAATTTTTTTTTATTTGCAAGTTTCTTCATTGTTTGTTTGTTTGCTAAATCGTTCACTTGGCTTTTTTCTCTTTATCACTAGGCTAAACATATAAATACGCATATCACAAACACAATACATATGCACAAACCGACAGAAATATTTAGCTGACCTTCAGAATGGTGTATGTAACAGCTGTTAATGAATGTCCGCGACTTAATTTATTTATTTCGAAAATATCTGGTCCCCACTCGTCTAACTGAAAAATAGAATAAAAAAATGTTAAAAAAAGAAAAAAAAAGCATTTTTGGAAGCCAAAATTGTTCAAAAGTGAAACAGTTGCATCACATATAGCTGATAAAGTGCTGGCTTCAAATTTTGAGAAATTTCAACCGAATCTAAACGTCAAAATATCATCAATAGCAGCTTTCGGGCATTATAGAATTCCATTTCTCCTACCCCTCCATCTTTTCTTCTCAGTCAGCTAACACTCCGACAAAACAAAGTGTAACGTATTCTTGAATAATTCATAGAAATATTCCGCTTTTTTATCCCATCTTCATCTTCTGAAGTTTATTGACACCACCATAATTTTAGCAAAATATTCACTCATTCTCTTTTACTTGTCCTCTCCACTTAAACCTCATCATTATTCCATTTTCTTTCAGCAAATCTTCTGACAAGTGTTTAAGTAGTAAAAAGCTGTTTTGGGTAAGTGAACGTTTCATTTTTGAACGTCTTTTATCTTTTTCCCTCTCTCATCCTTCTCCTGAATTACTTGAAAAAAAAACAGAACAAAATAAAATAAAATAAAATGGAAAAAATGAAAACATATTCCACAATTATCACCAGTATTATATATGTTTGCGTGTGTAATTTTTTTCAATTTTAACTAAGCAGCATTAGATAAAAATGAGAAGATAAAAAAAAACAGTATAGATATGCAAACAGAGACACATAAATGCTCAAATTGCAGGAAATATAAAAAAGAGGTGACTTGAATAAGTAAATAAATGAAAATAAAATAGAACAGAAAAAACATTTAGAGTTATCATTAATAAAAAAATGAATTTCTTTTAAAAACCATAACTCTCAGACAGACAGCATCATTACCCCCTGCGATGCACCGTTGCCCTTTTTGTTACAACGATGATTGGAATCAATTCAGTAAATATTCGATGCAAAATAAGCGGAAAAAAAGAAAAAAGTGCTATAAAATGTTAAAAACAGCCTTACCATTTTTATGTGTTCGGTAATCCCCTTGTTACATTCCACACCATATTCCGGTATTTTTCCACCAAATGGCGATCGAATCTTTTGCACACCGCTGATATGTGAAATGGCACTAAGTTTGGCTTTTTCCACAAATGTAAGCTTCGGACTAGAAGCAGATGTAGAAGGCACATTTTCTTCCTAAAATTCATTTTTTTTCCATTAATGTTATTAATTTTATTAGATATTTGGGTAACAATAAGAAGTAAGGAAATAATGAACTAAAAAAAGTTGAGTAAATCAATCTGGATACTACGATACCAGAAAAAATGATGGGAGGACAAAAAGTGGAAGTCTAGGCGAACTATTCAGTATCTTTTCTATTTCCATCAAATTATTTGCTAGTCATATCGTTGACCATCTATCCATCTCCCTAACTATCTGTTTGTTTCTCTGTCGTTAACAAAACCATTTCTCCATCAGCCTGTCCACTTACATGCAACGTCAACAAAGTAATGCAGTTACGAAAGAACTGCCATAAAAAGGGAGCACAAAAGTTGGTGGCACGAGTTTCAAAAATTCAATTAAACATTTTACTCTTCACTTTTTTTCTGGAGGTTTTCGAGAATATTTTAACCTAATTTTCAACAAACTCCAACTTCATCTCTTTACTACTTTCCTATTTTCACCATTCCCCCTCCTCCCCTGCCTCCTCATCCTCTCCCCGTACCCATCCCTTACTCTCTAGTCTTAACGTGTCCATCTTATGGTTTTTGACTTCTTTTACACTTCATTTTTACCCTCTCTTTTTTCATCTACCCTCTTCTTCCTTCTATAATCCCTCGTTTCATAAAATCGCTGTCAAATTTTTGCTCTTCTGAATAATGAAATAAAAAAGCCATTTTTAAAATTGCATTCAACAAAACAACACCAACAAAAAAAATTGACGTTTAGTTAGACAAAACAGGAGCAAGAGGAAGGAAGGAGGAAAAAGAAGCAAGTTTAAAAAAAAAAAAGAGAGAAAAAGGAAATAAAATTTATGTTGTATAATTCAAAAAAAAACTAAAAAAACTAAAAAAACAATTGTTTTCTACTTTTTCTTTTTATAGACTTTCTTCCTCTTTTGTGTTACCCGATCCTTCCCCCCCCCCC